TGCCACTGTGAATGTGACCTCGAGCAGTTATGTAAGTGTTCTGGCCTTCTGTTTCCTCACCTTAAAACTGGACATAATAGCAGCTGTCCTACCCCTCTTCCAGGATGGCTGTAAGGATGAAATGAGAAAGCAATCATAAATCATGTCATACACAAGAGGCCAGTAAGTCCTCAAGGCTAGATGTTGGCAAACTTTTATGCAAAGGTCCAGGTAGTAAATTATTTGAGGCTTTTTGCACTGCATCAGGCCAGGCCTCTGTTGCATATTCCTGTCTGTGTGTTTTACAACCCTTGAAAAATGCAAAACGAATTCTCAGCTCTTGGGTCACACAAAAACAGGCCACAGGCTGGATTTGGCACGCAGGTTATAGTTTGCCAACCTCTGCTCAGAGCAAATCAGAGGTGAGGACTGGAGGTAGGGTCAGCAGTTGTGATAAGTCTAAATCTAAATAAACATTTAAAATACATAATATATGAATCATACATAAATAGAAAGGAATATACATATACATGTTTTTTCAGACTTGTGGTCCCCACTCATGTAATTATCTGAACCCCAGTCCATGGGCCATCTTGTTTGAGTACTCCTAGACTATTTTGCCATTCACTGAATTCTTCATTGCCTCGCCTAACCAAATGAACAATCATCCAGAGGTGGCTCAGAGTCTGCCTGGCATCCCTCCTGGGCAAAACAGCATCTACTCTGAATTGCTTAGTAGTCTTAAAACTAGAGGCCAGCCTTCAGCCTCAGCTTGGTTGGTTGTCACTCCTAAGAGGTTCATTGGGGCCTTATAGAAATGAAACCATGGGCAGACAATCTTGCCTACCTGGGCAGTGCTTCCTGGGCATAGCTCCTGCCTGGCCTCCTTCTCAGGGAGAAGGATCTTCATTTGGGGGTCACTACTGCCCATGTAAAAACCAATTCATGTTACCGGTGACAATGAGCATTCCGACAGTACTTTGTTGACTGTGTGTTTAAACTGTTATTATTCCTCCCATAACACCCTAATGAGATAAGTTGGCATTATCACTGCCATTTGCAAACAGGGGAATTGTGGTGACAGATATTTAAACAATGTACTCAAGACACTAAAGTCAACTTTTCTGATGAGGTGGACCAATGTTTCTGGTTTCTCATCTCTCCCATGAGATCCCTCTTCCCCTTTGCGTGTCTCTTTCTCCTTTTCCCAGCCTCACTCTTCAATTTAAGATATCAGAGGAGCCACAGAATGAAGCTCTTAATGAGAACAACTGATAACAAAGAATGTTTATTTATTTCTTTTCCCTTCCAAAGGAATTCCAAAGAAAAATGGCAGGTCAGTAACACTTATCTACAGTAACGAAAGCAGCTAGATTTCAGATATACCCATACAAGAGGAAGTGCTGACCTAATCCGTCTTACTTTTGTTGACAAGTGTGGAAATATGATGAAATAAATGCAACACTTTAGAATCAAGGTCTTAGCTAGAAACACCTAGTATCCTCCTTTGACAGAAGGGTATATGGAGAGACAGAAAGGGTATGAGCGTTTCGAGGAGATGGCTGATTTTCAGAGCTGAGGTTGGTGCTCCAGTCTCTGACTTTGAGTTCAGTCCATCTTATTTATTTATTTATTTATTTTTTGAAACGGAATCTTGCTCTGTTTCCCAGGCTGGAGTGCAGTGGCTTGATCTCAGCTCACTGCAACCTCTGCCTCCTGGGTTCCAGCGATTCTCCTGCCTCAGCGTCCTGAGTAACTGGGATTACAGGCGCTCACCACCACGCCCGGCTAATTTTTGTATTTTTAGTAGAGACAGGGTTTCATCGTGTTGGTCAGGATGGTCTGGAACTCCTGACCTCGTGATCCACCTGCTTCAGCCTCCCAAAGTGTTGGAACTACAGGAATGAGCCACGGTGCCCAGCTGTCCAGTCCATCTTCTATGACACCCTGCTGTTGCCCAGGTTGTCAGTACCTTGCTGGCCCCATCCCTACACAGCTGCACGTCAGGCCTGTAATTTCATTCTTATAATCTCTAACAGTCTTGTCCCTGTCAAGACGAGGATCTCTATCATTTCTAATTCAGTCTAACGTTTTCTTTCTGGATGATTATTTCATTTTGTTAGCACATTAGGCTAAAATCTCAAGGCTGCTGTTTCAGCACAGCACAGAGGACGACTCTGTCTCACAGAGGAAGGCGCCAGTCCTCCAACACAGACCACACCTCCAAACATGACCCAAGGAGCTTACAAATGCCTGGCCCTGTTCACAGGACGGACAGAGCAGACAGCTCAGGGTCTGTCTAGCATCCCTTCTGGGCAAAACTGCAAGTCCCCATCAGGAAGACAGTGGTCATCTGCACTACTTCACAGATGAAGGGAAATACTTTAGAAGCAAAAACTTAGCTAGGAGCAGTGCGTGGCAACCATTAGGCATATAATAAAGGTTGATTAAATGAATGAAAACCCTTCTACGAAGATTTTTGAGGTGAAGCTTTTTAGAAGGGGAATTGGACATGCTAATGAACTTAAAAGATAAATGGCTTCTCTGGGAACACTGTATAAACATCAATTTCTTAGTAAAAGTGTGATAAAGAGAGAAGATGGATAGCCGTGTCTCCCACTCTGAAACTATGGCGAGCCAGAGATGAAAAATTCTTACCCTCCAATCTTGGTTTCATTAAACTACAGGCATCTGTCATTGTGTTATATTTTGCAACTTTGTTCTTTTACTAGAGTTTGGGTTGATTTATGCCTGACAATGTACAAGAGATATGTCTTCATCTCATCACAAAGTCAACTTCTAGTGACCCTTGAAAAGCTTTTCCGTGACCACTAGTCCCAGTCGTGGGGTGCGGGTTTTTCTTAGTTTTAGTTCGAACACTGCATGCTCTTGACCTTGCCCTTAGACTTTGGGGAGAGGCATGTCCTACTGTCTTGAGGCTGTGGCCCTTGGTGTGGGGCCTCCTGAGCAGCCCAGACTATCAGCTTCATGGGAGCCCTGGGGAAAATGCTGATTTTATTCTTCCTCCTTTATAGTCTGTTACTCCTGCAGGGAGGTTAGGAAAAGTCAGATTTAGGAAAGAATGTAGTTTGTCACAACATCCATGACTCCCACTAACTTCAGGATACAAGCCAGTCTTATTGGTATGGCAGATACGGTCCTCCATGATTTGGTCTAAACCTCCCTTTACAGTCCTGATCTTCCATCCCTCTCCTCCAGGCCCCATCAGCCTCTGTGAACAGCTTCTCCCTTCCCTGGTGTACCAAGCTCTTCTTTTACCTTTGTGCCTTTGCCTGTGCCCAGAAGGCCCTTTGTCCTTTTTGTGACTTGGTGAAATACTCATGCTTCAAGACCCCACTCAAATAGTCGTCTGTGAAGCCTTTCTGGATTCACACAGGCTGCCATTTCTTTCCACTGTTCTTTCTTCATGCCTTGTGCAAACTTTTCTGATGATACATAGGACTCTCCAAAAGTTACCTGTTTATGAGTTTATCTCCTCTACCAGTCTGTGAGCTCCTGATATGCAGGGGTGATAACTACTCATTGTTACCTCCTGAGCCTAGCCTTGTGCCTGGCCATAGTCATCTCTAAGAAATGTTGAGACAATGGAGAAATGACCTGAAACTAGATATTGGAAGTCTTTGATATCCCAGCAAAATGATTCAATGCTATCTTCAGTGATATTCATTGTGGGGTATTCATAATGATCCACTGGCTGTCAGGGAGAAAGTATTAGAACTACTATTTATGGTTTGTCAAAAATTAACAATGAAAGTAAGCTTTTCTAGTATTTTCTATAAACTGACAGTAGCACACATATTTAATTTATAAATAAATACATACATTGGCCGGGTGCAGTGGCTCACGCCTGTAATCACAGCACTTTGGGAGGCCGAAGCGGGTGGATCACCAGGTCAGGAGTTCAAGACCAGCCTGGCCAATATACTGAAACCCTGTCTTTACTAAAAAATACAAAAATTAGCTGGGCATGGTGGTGGGTACCTGTAGTCCCAGCTACTTGAGAGGCTGGGGCAGGAGAATTGCTGGAATCTAGGAGGCAGAGGTTGCAGTGAGCTGAGATCGCTCCACTGCACTTCAGCCTGAGCAACAGAGCAAGACTCTGTCTCAAACACACAAACAAACAAAACACATGACATTAAGAACAGGAGGCCCCTTTGAGAATTGTAGGCTGCTGTTATAAGTAAGGGGAAGCCACTGAAAGACACTGAACAGGGGAAAAACATGAAAAAAACCCAAGTGTTCAGGAGCATCGGTCTTACAGACTAGATGGAGATAAGAGTCACCAATCAACGGGCAAGGCTCTGACGGGGCCATACACAAGAGATAAAAGACTAGACAAGAAGAGGAGTGATAGAAATGGGGGGAAAAGAAGATCTAGTGAAGAATGATCATCATTATCTTTATTTGCATCGTTCCATCAGTGGAGCTGGGTCACACATTGTCACAGTAAGGAGAAGGAGAAAGAGCCACATGGACACTCTAAATGCAGTCACAGAATGAGACCCCAGGCTGAACTCAAAGGAGAACATGGAATACTTTGCCCCAGGCTTGGAGTCTATAAGTGAGACTTTCAAAAAATGGTTTTCTCCACTGGTTTAAAGGGGCAACAAATAAAGGCCACTCCTCGGGCCTGTCCAATCCCAGATTGGGGCTTCTCAGTAAAGACTATTTATAGCTCAGATTGTTGCAGCAAGGTTATGCAACTGCCGCGTGGGGCAGGCAGGACAGCAGTCCCGAGCCCTTGCCGGGTGAGTGACCGTCTGACCGTCTTCTGGCTGCTTCCTGTTGGCTTAGGAGACAACAGAAGAAGGTGGATTTGTTTGTCCATTGAGCAACCTGCCGTTGCCCTGCTTGTGCCCACCTGTCTCCCTTTAAACATTAACAATCTGTTAAAATATTTGGGTTTTGTGCCCAAGGCCAAGGGGATCCCAAGAGAAAGAGGAACAGAAAAGGGGAGGAGGAGGAGAGAAGGGAGGGGGGAGGGAGGGCATCAACAATTTATTCATTCAACAAACATTTCTAAGTGTCCATGGTGACCCAGACATCATGGGAACCTTGGGGTTCCAGAGTTGAGTAGAACACGACTCCCATCCTTAGGGATTCACCATCCAGTAGAGGAGAAAGACGTCTAGACAGAGGACAAAAGGGAAGGAAAGGCTCGATGCTGTGCCTTCAGCTCAGCTTCTCCATTTTTTAGAGAAGGGTTAATGGGGGAAGCAGAGAGAGAGAGATGAGAGATCATACTTTCCAGGGCCTTTGTCTCCAGAGCAGAGGGTCTCAAACCTTAGTGAGCAAAAACTGATCCAGAAGACTTGTTGGAGGCAGAGCTTCCAGTTCAGCAAGCCTATTTCAGCAGATTGGAGGTGGGCCCAGGGCTCTGCATTTTCCCAGCTCTCTGGGGGATCCAGGTGCAGGTAGTCCGTGATCACAAGGGGATGCCACTCTTCCAAAGCGGGCCTGGAAAACCAGAACTGGCAACTTTCTGGCCCCAGAGCTGCCAGCCATGGGGCAGGTCCACCAGAGACTGATGGAGGAACGAGGAAGAAGAAAGGGAAAGGAACAGGGAACCTCAGAGAGGATTAGAGTGGGAAATGGAAAAAGAGAAAATCCAAGGTGTGCAAAAGAGAAAAGGGATGCCTCTCTAAGAAGGCCAGCGAGTATTAGCGGAGGTGCTAGGGCCGCTCAGGCTGGCTGACGTCCATGTGTTAGCCATGATTTTTGGTCTTTCAAACTTGAGGACCTGCCTAAGCAAGCACAGAGCAAAAAACAGAAAGTTGACTTTGGTAGATGCTTGGGCATCAATATCACGTGGAACCAGCCTTTTCTTTGATACCTTTTGCGTTTCTTGCAGATCCCGTGTCTGCAGCACGTGCTGATCGCCAAGGGTGAGGCTGGATGAAGCCAGAGGCTGTGGAAAGGAGACTGTTTCAGAGGACTTGACACCATCTTCAGTAATTTCTCTGGTTCTTGGCAGCTCCATTTGGCTGTGTCCCTACCCTGCACAACCCTCCCATGCAGTCTACTCCAGGGCAGCGTCCAGCTGGTGACCTGAGAGGGCAGCGGTGCGCCAGTCTCCATGAAGGTTGAGCTCGGATGGCCAACAGCAATTTTCACCCTGTGGTCTACAGCTCTTCATCCTGATTGATGGAGATTGGTCTCTCTCTTCAGCTGGATTGAGGCCACCATCTGAGCCCCCGGGGTACGTTTTGTCTGACCCTGGCACCATTCGGTTCTTCTACAGCATCAGGTACGATGTTCCTAGTTGTCTCAACTGCATTCCTAAGGCGCGCTTCCTCTCCTCTGCTCGTTTCCAAATGGACATCTCCTCCCTCATTCTTTTTCTTTAAAAAAAAAAAAATTTATAATATAAATATATATTAAAAATAGAGACGGAGTCTTGTTATGTTATCCAGACTGGTCTCGATCCCTTGGCTCATGTAATTCGCACACCTCAGCCTCCCTAAGCGTTAGGATTACAGGCATGAGCCACCTCACCCGGCCTCCTCCCTCATTCTTTAAGCGCCTGCTCTAGCATTACCTTCCCTGTGAATTCTTTCTTTCTTTTTTTCCCATTTGGAATCCTTTTTATTTCATTTTATTTTATTGACAAATAATAATTGCACAAATGTATGGGGTGCACAGTGATCTTTTGATACATAGAAGATATGGTGATCAGATCGGGGTAATTAGCATATCTGTCACATCAAACATTATCGTTTCTTTGTGTTAGAAACTTTCAAGATCCTCCTTCTAGCTCTTCGAAAGTATATGTTCCTATTAACTGCAGTCATCCTACAGTGCTATAGAACAATAGCCCTTACGCCTCCTATCCAGCTGTAATTTTGTATCATTTAGCAAATCTCCCTGTTCTTTATCCCATCTTCCCTTTTCCCATTTGAAGTTTTTATCACGTGGTACTGGCACTCGGTTCGGGTATGCGCCACCCATTTTACTACAGGTTCCAGGGATCTAGTCTCATGGAGGTCACTGGGGCAGAATGATTAGGAACTCAGGCTAAACTAATTCAGAATCTCAGCACTGTCACCTGTCAGCTGTGTGACCTCAGGCAAGCTACTTCATCGTCCTCGTCTCCGTTTCCTTACCTATAAAATGGACTAACAATTGTACTTACTATTGAGGTTCAATGTAGTTACTATTAAGGTTATAACTTGGTCCAGCACCTGAAACACTGTAGCTCTCAATAAATGTTTGTTCTTCTCATTATACATATTTATATCCTTACTTTAATCTCTGTGGATTTAGTACAGAGTGGATGCTCAGTCATGTTTACGGGATTAGCAATTAAGATATGTACCTGTATCGCTGCATCTGTCCATTAGTATATTTTAAGAAGGAATGGGCAATTCAATATAGATCATAGATCAATATTTTATGGTGTTTCCTCTATGCGAGGATTGGTTCAGAGTGGGATTATCTACCCGAGCTTGGGCAGTCCATCAATCGCTCTTCTTTTGTGTCCGCTGTTTCAGAGTGCCTTTCTCACTTCGGTTCCCATCCTTATATTTGCTGCCCTGTTTCTGAAGGAGCAAATCAGAAAATGGTGGCTTTTTAAAAGGACCTTAAACTGAGCCTGAGTTGTCTAGAGGAAAACAGCAAAAGAATTCTATCAAGTCTGTTGTAATCTGAATTTCCCCTTCCCCGTATCAATTTCCACCGTGTGAAATGAGGTGGGAGGAACGAAACGCACTCCGCAGTCCCTGATAATTGCAGTGGTCTGTGACCTTTTTTGTCCGTGGGGGCACTTTGAGCTCAGCAAGGTAAAGCAACGTTAGCAAACAAACACAATGTAATGACTAGTTCTGGCTCTCTGATAAGGATACTCTCAAAAAGAAAACAGGTGCAACCTCTACAGTTTGCCCGATTTGCTGCTTGTCTTTGCACTTGCCTGGAATTACTAGAGGCTGTTTACCTGGCTGAGCTGAATGTCTGGAAACCTGGTTTCCGCCCCTTTGAGTTCAGAAATTTTGAGAAAAGATAACAAGGGCGGACTGAGCTCAGAAGGAACTAAGCTTTTCTTAGAGATTTTAGTCAAATAATAGAAGGTTAAACATGAAGAGGAAATGATTGGGAAAATATGTGAAAAACCAGTAGCAAATCATGTACTGCCTTCCAGGAGACCTGGCTACAAATCCCTGCCTTTACCATGGAGGGTAGGTTGGGGCGGGGGGGACTTCAGCCTGCTCCTCAGCCCTGTCCTGTCCCTGAGACAAGGAGCGCCCCTGGCACCGCAGTGGGATCTCTGCCCTGCCAGCAGGCGGGGCCGGGGCACAGTCCTTTGCCCCATCTCTTCCTCCCTCTACTATTCAATGTGGCTTACTTTGAATCCATTCTTCCTGTCAGGCCTCATCCTCATTAAATCTATGCTCCTTTAGAAAAGCATTTTTTAAAAAATTACATATGCCTTGTATTAGTCTATTTTGCATTGCTATAAAGAAATACCCAGGACTGGGTAATTCATATAGAAAAGAGGCTTTTTGTGGCTCGTGGTTCTTCAGACTGTGCGAGAAGCACGGTGCCTGCATGGGTTTTGGAGGAGGCCTCCGGAAGCTTTTCCTAATGGCAGAAAGTGAAGAGGGAGCAGACGTGTCACACGGTGAGAGTGGGAGCAAGAGAGAGAGGGAGGAGGTGCCAGGTTCTTGTTAACAATCAAATATCAATAACTAATAGAGTGAGAACTCACTCATCACCAAGGGAACCAAGCCATTCATGAGGGGTCCACCCCCATAATCCAAACACCTCCTGCTAGGCCCCACTTCCAACACTGGGGGGTCACATGTCACTATAAGATTTGAAGGGGACAAACCTCCAAACCATATCATAGCTCTTCCCGCAAAGAGATTATACTTGGCAGCCACTTGCCTAGGCCTGTCCCATCACCCCCAGCCAGCCAGTGCCAGCTCTGGCTCCTACCTCTTCCCACCACTCTTGATTGACTGCTGGCAATTGGTGGCATGCTTTCCTGTGTCTTAATGTCAAATTTGGAGACACTACAGTAAAAGACAGTCCCTAAATGAACCATTCTTCCTGTCAGGCCTCATCTTCATTTAATCTACACTCCTTTAGAAAGGCATTTTAAAAAAATTTACATATGCCTTGTATTAGTCTATTTTGCATTGCTATAAAGAAATACCCAGGACTGGGTAATTCACATAGAAAAGAGGCTTATTGTGGCTCATGGTTCTTCAGACTGTGCAAGAAGCACGGTGCCTGCATGGGTTTTGGAGGAGGCCTCCGGAAGCTTTTCCTAATGGCAGAAAGTGAAGAGGGAGCAGATGTGTCTCCTGCTCCATGAGACCTCCCCTCAGTGAATGTTTCCTGGGCATCATCTATAAGCCATTAGGCACTACTGGAGGCCCCTAGGTAGAAAGAGCCCTGGGATCCAGGGGAAGAAGCAACTAGCTCTGCCCTGGGGAGCTGGGGAGGGTTTTGCAGGTAGAGAAAGGAAAGAAGGGCAACCAGGAACAGAATGCAGGGTGTGTATGTTGAGGGTTGAGAAGCAGAGGAAGCGCAACCTGTTCAGGAAATGGGAGGCCGTTCCAAGGAGCTGGAACACAGCGTGCAGGGAAAGTGATGGGGGATGACGTTGTGAAGGGATGTAAAGGCATTTGGACTTGCCCCTGTTGGCAATGGGATAATCATCAGGTACCTCAGCAAGGAGCTGCAAAACAAGAGTTTTAGGTCTTCCCATTTAAATGAACCTGTTCACTCAGCACCCTAGGGGTACTGAAGTAATTAGAAATGAACCTTGAGAAGGGATGGTGGGGAAAACACCCCCAGGGCAAGCAGTAGGTGTGCTTTCAACCGGTGGAAACTGTTGTAGAAAGTGGGATCCAATTATCCCAAATCTTCACCTTTCTGGAACCAACTGACAAGACACCTTGCAGGAACCAAGCTTGTTTTATTGCACTTCTAGAATACGATTGACTCGGCTACCTCCAACTCCTGTCATACTCCACATTTACTTTATGCACATATATTTACATATTCACCATATTTACATATTTATTATATGATAAATAGTAGTAAAGTGCTTTGTAAAACACAGAGTGCGCTACAGATTGATAATTTGTACTGTAGCTTTCCATGGGTGTGCTGAGAGGCTCTAGCCAGAATACATATTGCTCAGATACCCTCCTCCGAGAAAGTTGCTCTCTTCAACTTCACTATAAAGCAGAAATATGGAAGTAAATATGGGCATAGCCAATCACATCAGCCAACTCCAATTTCGTGACCAATATTGTGATTGTTACAAATTATAACCCCAAGGCAGTGAAGATAAAGTGTGTTTTGTGGAAGCAGGACTTTTGCCTGGGGGTGGTAGCTCACACCTGTAATCCTAGCATTTTGGGAGGCCAATGCGGGGGGATTACTTGAGGTCAGGAGTTCAAGACCAGGCTGGCCAACGTGGTGAAACCCCATCTCTACTAAAAATACAAAAATTAGCCTGGTGTGGTGGTGAGTGCCTGTAATCCCAGCTACATGGGAGGCTGAGGCAGAAGAATCACTTGAACCCAAGAAGTGGAAGTTGCAGTGAGCCGAGATCACGCCACTGCACTCCAACCTGGGTGACACAGCAAGATTCTGTCTCTAAATACATAAATAAATAAAAGCAGGACTTTGGAGGGCCTTTCATATACTGAGAATTCAATGGTCACCGAGAAATCAAAGAAGGTTATTTGAATCCAGCCTTTCTCAAGGTTGATTTGACCAGCAAATCTCCTATTTCCTGGTCCACATTGCCTGGAGGCCCTCCAAGAAATAGTCTTTGTCCTATATTTCAAAAGGAAAATGTTCTTTTCTGGGGGAAGCTGTAGGTAACCTGTAATGTGGGAACTAGTCCAAGAGGCAGCACCAGAAGCTGCAGTCTCGGAAAGCCAGCAGCTCCCGTCTCTGCAGTCGATTCTTACCCTGTAGCCTTGGGTCTGATCTGAGAGGCTTCCTCTGAAGTTCTTAGCTAAGACCTGCCCTACTTCCCACCTGCCTCGCTCTACATGACCATCTTTTTACTATCAGCCCTGACTCGTAGCCTTACCCTACCTCCCTAGTATTCCCTTTGCTTGATATTTGTAACCCTGACCTGGGGCTTATTGTAAGAACTCAGGGAGAAGGACCCAAGGCTACCTTGATAATATTCTCTCATTGATGTAACACCAGCTTATGAAATATCACTATTCTATTCTATTCTATTCTATTCTATTCTATTCTATTCTATTCTATTCTATTCTATTCTATTCATTTTATTTTTGAGACAGAGTCTCACTCTGTTGCCTAGACTGGAAGTGCAGTGGCGTGATCTCGGCTCATTGCAACCTCCGTCTCCTGGGTTCAAGCAATTCTCCTGCCTCAGCCTCCCGAGTAGCTGGGATTACAGGCACCCACCACCACACCAGGCTCACTTTGTATTTTTAATAGAGATGTTGCCCAGGCTGGTCTCAAACTCCTGAGTTCAAGTGATCCGCCCGCCTCAGCCTCCTAAAGTGCTGGGATTATAGGCATGAGCCACTGTGTCCGACCCACTTTCTTCACATTTTTAAGTTGTTGTTTGTTTCTATTGTGGAAGGAAGGTTCTTTTGGGACTCCTTTTATTCTATGATCTGCGTCTCATAGTCAGTTATTATTTTCTTAATTTTATGCGTGCTCCCTAGGGTATAATCTGGTTTTCAATCTTCATATCGTGTCTGTCTTGTTTTCACCTCTGATGCTTTTGGTTGTCTTCATTTGAAGGCAAGGAGAAACCTTCATTTGTTTTTGCTTTCGCATTTATGATTAATAACATGTGATTCTTTCTTTCGTATGGCGCTTTCAGAATTACCTGCACGGATTGCTCCTCACAGGTGGTTGTGGTGCAGAAAGCAGCACTGAACAGGAGCGCTTTCCCCTTTGTACTGGGGAGAGCTAGGTTTTCCTGGTCTGGCCCCTTTGGGGGTTTGGTTCCTAGGCTTCTGACTCTCACGACACTCCTGAGTTCTCTTTGTAAAGCAAAAAGACAGCTGATTTCTGAAATCACATGCTACAGTTTAAATAATTCAATCCGAAACTGCATTTGAATAAGAAACCATCCTCCAGCTTCAAGCTTTCCCTTCATTAGCATTAGTTTTTATTCAAGTTAAAAATGTCCTCCTGGCTTCCCCTCCCTCTACTAGAATTCTTGGTTACTTTCAAAAGCCCCATTTTACTTTTTGTTTGTTTGCTTGTTTTATTTTGTTTTGTTTAGAGACGGAGCCTTGCTCTGTCACTCAGGCTGGAGTGCAGTGGAGCCATCTCAACTCACTGCAACCTCCGTCTCCCCAGTTCAAGTGATTCTCCTGCCTCAGCCTCTGGAGTAGCTGGGATTACAGGCACGCCACACCTGGATAATTTTTGTATTTTTAGTAGAGATGGGGTCTCCCCATGTTGGCCAGGCTGGTCTTGAACTCCTGACCTCAAGGGATCCGCCCACCTTGGCCTCCCAAAGTGCTGGGATTATAAGCATGAGCCACCATGCCTGGCCCATTTTACTTTAAATAATGTAATTCCTTCTATTCTTCCAGGCATTCACCTGGCTCCTAGGGCTTTTGTGCTGTAGGCCTGTATTTCCAGCTACTTTTGGAAAAAATCTCTCTGGAGTCCCAATGAGCTGGTCACATCAGCCTGTCCAGAGATAAAGCACATTTCCCTGCCCTCGCGTGCCTCTCCCTTGCTGTCTTTCACTTAATCAAGGCACACAACACCCTCTACAATGCTGAGTATGCTCAGGTCCTCCTGGGCTTCATGGCGTCTTTCTTTTTCCTTATTCCATTGGCCTAATCTGATTGAATTTACATTTTGCACATTTTGCATTAGTAATTCTCTTGCATGAATCTCTTTCTCTTCCTCCCTTCTGCCATCACTAGCTCTTGTCCTCTCTTTTCTGGACTGTAGAATAATCTCTTTGGTGGTCTTTCTGTGGTCTTCCCTTCCCCTCCACTAAATCTACTCTCATTCAGTATCAAGAAATACTTAATCAGCAATGAATACTCTCCACCCAGCCCTTGACCCATTGTCAGTCTCTGACATCAGCTCCTCTCCAGCAGAGCAAAGTGCAACTGCAGCCAGCTCATGCCTTCAAGAGAAGGACTGAAGATCATTGTGTGCCTGAACCAAGTAAGTCTAACTGCTCCTTCACCAGCTCACCCAAAACTACAGGGGCTTTCTACAACCATGTTCCCATGGCTCTGGGAATTCCTCCAGGCTGGAACTCTGGTTTGGTTTCCCCAGTTTATATCCTATGCTTCATATCAAGATCTTCACACTTTGCCTATCCTACAAGAAGCAGCGGCCAGGTTGGACTTTCTGATAAGTTTTGGAGGTTGCTTCTTGGCTCACCCTTGGTACCTTGTTCTACTAGCCACAGCTAAGCACCACAAAGCCTAGGTGACTGGGACACTGCAACCCAGCCCAGACCCAATACCATGGCCTTCTACGGTTGGGCATGGGATCCTGATGAGACTTCTAGGGCCAATACTAAAGACTATGAGGTTTGCAAGGTGAAGTTCACTGGCAGCCTCTTATAGTCCATAACAAATATTTCTAGTTTGTTCATTCATTGAGTCATCTAACAAGTGTTTATAGAGCAACCATCAAGTGCCATATATATTCCATAGTGTTAGGGATATAGCAGGGAAAATGTCAAAGTTTCTACTCATAGAATCCGTATTCCACTATTGGAGGAAAAAAGGTAGCTCATATAGCATCAATCATTGTCAATGATCTTAAATGTCTGAAGACAATTAGCTGTGTAAGATGTAAGTGACTGAGAGGGAAGGGCTATTTTAGAAATGCTCAAGGAATTAGCTCTGGGAATATGACATTTAAACGAAGATCTGAATGACAAGAAGAAGCCAGCATGCCAATTTTCGTGGGCAGAGTATATTGAGTAGAGAGACCAGAACACGTACAAAACCCTAAAGTGGGAATGAACCTGGATGAGTTTGAAGGACGGGAAAGAGAACAATGTGGCTGGATTTGATAAGCAAAGAGGTGAATAAGGGGAAAAATTAAGTCAAACAGGAAGACACAGACTAGATCATGTAAGGCCTTGGTAAGTGATATGGTTTGACTGTGCCCCACCCAAATATCATCTTGAATTGTAGTTCCCATAATTCCCACTGTTGTGGGAGGGACACAGTGGGAGATAATTGAATCATGGGGGCAATTACCCCCATGCTACTGTTCTCATGGTAGTGAGTGAGTTTTCACAAGATCTGATGGTTTTATAAGTTTTAGAAGGGGTTTTCCCCCATTTTGCTTGGCACTTCTCTCTTGCCTGCCACCATGTAAGACATGCCTTTGCTTCTCCTTCTGCCATGATTGTGAGGCCTCCTCACCCGTGTAGAGCTGTGAGTCCGTTAAACCTCTTTTCCCTTATAAATTACCCAGTCTCAGATATGTCTTTACTAGCAGCGTGAGAACAAACTAATACAGTAAATTTGCATAAGACATTTGCACTTCCCTTTGAAAGTAATGGGAAGCCATGCTCTGCATACCCAGAAGAAGAGTGAGATTGGAAACCATGGTGATTGAAGACCTATTGGGAGTGAAGACTTTAGCCCTGAGGGAGAGAGTGACTGCAGAGTTTCTCAGATATCTGCAGCTGGGGATGATATCTGGATGGGATACCTGGCCCCTGGGGCTAGTGAGGAGTTCAAAGAAGAAGGAGCAGAAATGGATTCAGGAGACAGTGAGCAGAGCCTCAATGTTCTGTAAGTAAGTGCTCCTGGAGGGGAAGTGTTAGAGAGGTAGGTAGAGGGGCCCAGGATTCCGGGAAGCTGGAGATTCCAGCTCTAAGACCTGCTATTTTTGCCTCAAGACAGATGCACAATTATAGGTTGCAACAATGGAGTCATTTTGAAGAAGCAAAAATACTCAGTGCAATGGACTGAATGTTAGTGTCCTTGCAAAATTCATATGCTGAAACCCTAACCTACTATGTGATGGGATTAGGAGGTAAAGCCATTGGGAGGTAATGAGGGTGGAGTTCTCAGGAATAGGATTGGTGCTCTTATAAAAGGGACCCCAGAGCGCTCTCTCACCCTCATTCCACCATGTGAGGATGTCTGCAGTGTGCAACCTGGAAAGGGCCCTCACCATGCTGACACCTTGATCTTGGACTTCCACACTCCAGAACTGGGAGAAATAAACTTCTGTTGTTTGCATGTCACCCAGTCTATGGGGTACTTTGTTGTGGCAGCCCAGATGGGCCAAAACACCCACATTCATCACTAGCAGGCCCTGGACATATTATCTTATTGATTCTCAGCTGTGCTCTCTTGCACCATGGGCACCCTGAAACAAGACACACACATATGTAAAAATAAACGTAAAAATGGCACCCTGATATTTACGCAGGGTAGGCCCCGGATGTGCCCACCATGCTAATAGTATAAATCCTGGCCTCAGGCAAATGGCCTTCTGGACCTTCCAAAGATCTAATAACCAGCTCTCCCTCGAGAAGGCCTTTCTCCTTTCATGATTGTTCCTTTTCTTGCATGGTAGATTTTACCTTTGCTAATATGCAATGAAGAAAAAAAAAAAAAAAAAAAAGGAAAAAAAGCAACCCTACCAAATAGAAGGGACTTTGAAAGTGTGAAGACGGCTCAGTTCTCTGACAAGCCCTGCTGCCTCAGCCCACAGTGAGGCACTGGAATAAAATTAGGACTGTATGAAGGATGAATGGGTCCAGTCTCTCTCCTGCAGAGCCCTGCCATGTGGACAGGGCCAGAATCATCACTTGGTTCATAAGCTGGAATAGAGCGCCTTTCATTCAGAGTTCCCAGGACACTTCACAGCTGCTAAAATGATCCTAAGCAAATATTTGTAGCCACACAATACAGGTGGGAATATGGAGGTACCATGAAGAAAAAGGATTGGCCAAAACCCCCAGAGTGAACTCCAGAGGTAGGACCACAAGCCAGGACCCGAGCCAGTTCAGGGCTCTGTCAGCAGGATCCGGTCTGGGAAAGGAGGGTGGGATTTCATGACTGAGAAGAGCGGTGATCAAACAAATTTGGGGGGCCCACAGTAACAGCTGGCTGTGAGCCCACTGCTTCCTAATCCAGTGCCACTCAGGCAAGTGTGTTCGGTGCCTTAGTGACCTACAGCTCTAAGTGACTAGGGAGCTTTAATAATTCAAGGCCTCTAATTAGATTGACAGTGTCTGTCAGAGTGAGATGTGCTGTTGAGTGTTTTCTGTGTTCCAGACAAATTCACTTATAGTTTCAATTAAGCCCATTTCTTGTATACTGGGGCCCAAAAGGCAAGCGCACAGAACGAGCTTGTGATTGTGCTGCCAAGACAAGGGTGAGCACAGGATAATCTGCCTACCAGAGGCTGTAGGCTGGAGTCCAGGTTGGGACTCAAAGTCAAGATAAAAAAGTGTGCTTGGATATGGTCCTTCGGAGCGGAGACTGCTACATTCTTGTCACTAATGATCTTCAAATAAACAAAACTCCAATGAAGTGTTATCAGTTGGAATCAACTGGAATTGAAGATTCAGCATTTCTAGCATTTTCCTAGGAGCTAGAATGGATGGCAGGCAAGGCAGAAAGGATTTGGGAGGAAGGAAAAGAAAGAGAGAAAATAAGCTGGGCTTCAGGACTCATGACGGGCTGCCCCCAACACACCCCATGTGGTCCTTAGAAGCTGCTTTGTCCTGGGGCTTCTCCCAAGGCTTGGATCTAAATAGAGGCCTCCCCAGATGCCAGGAACTCCGCGGAGCTTCAGGCCTCGTTGAAAACCTCCCACATGGTCTTGGAGAGGTCAGCAGCCATTCTGGCAATACAGACTGTACAAATTCAAATGCCAGTGACTCCACTGCCAGCTGTGGGATCTTGGGCAAATCACATCATCTCCTAGTGTCTCATTTCTCTGGGCACAAATCGCCTGTATCTGACCGGGTTGTGAAGTAAGAAGCTGATCGAGTGAAGAAGCACTTAGCACACAGCTGGCCAGCAGCAAGAGCTCAAAGCATCAGTCTTTGTAATTATGATTATGTGCTAAGCCCAGGGCACCCCAGAACTTACTAATTTCCACTCCCTCTTCAATGCAGATCCAAATTCACTCTTGGGTCCAATTTAACTTGGCAGTTACATGTAAGACCTAATTCCCAAATTAAAGAGCTTTGGACAAAAGTCCACCTTTGATGGCAGGTGAGGAAGGAAGCCAGGCAGTGTTGACAAGTCCTTCATCACTGACACTTTGCTCAGCATCAGTCAGGGCTGGCCCTGGGTGAAACCGAGAGACAGGCCAAATTTACTGTCATTGAGCTGCACCTCTCTAGCGCCTACCACCTCAGGATTTATGAGCCCCATGAGGGCTGGGGCTTTGGCACAGCCTGTCACCCTGAATCAGTAGACAGGCTTCCAGTGAAGTCACCTACCAAGGGAGCATGTCTGCAAAAGGGAGTGAGAACCAGCTCAGCTGGGGACACACGCAGTCTGGGACTGGCAAGGTGGAGTCAGGGAGAAGCAGGGCAGAGGGGGCCGATCTCCATGCTGGGCCGGGCCCCAGCAATGGAAAGGCATCTTGTATACTGTAGAGAGCCACACAGATGTTAAGGGTGTTATCCTATGATTGTTACTACTTTTCACTGGCAAGCCAGTTGTTTAATATCAACAAAGTAGTCAACAAAGCAAAGGAAACCAGAGAGATCTGGGTCTGTGGCTGACACATGCGCGACTACAAATTCCATCACCCTTCAGAGCCTGGCTTCCTCCTCTGTGAAGTCCTCAGACAGCAGGGTTGCTAAATGGATTGAAAGTGATAAGATAGATCTTGCCCCTGCCACAGACAGAGAATCAACCAAGGTTCTTTCTCCCTTCTCTCTGGTGAAGACACAGGGTACCTTAAGGAAAATCTCTTATACACACATAGATGTGTATAAGAGACAGGTTTAAAAGACAGAAGATGGAGTTTGTTTTAAAGGTTTTAAGA